CGGAGGTCGGGGTGCGCGGCCGCCAGCCCCTTGAGCGCGCCGCCGGGGCCTGGCAAGCCAGCGGCACCGAGAGCCGGTGCTGGGTGAGGGCTGGGCACGGGCGTGGGCGGCGGCGTGGGGTGGCCGGGCTGCAGGTGCATGGTGGTCTGGCCGCAGTGCGCGATCTGGAACTGCAGGTGAGGGGCGGCCAGGTGCGCGGGCGGTGGGTGCGGGTGCGGCGGCGGCGGCGGCGGCGGCGGCTGGTAGGGGAAGAGGCCGGCCAGCGCCAGCTGCTTCGCCTCGTCCTCCTCGCGCGGCTCCTGCTTGATCACCAGCGGCCGCAACGCCGGCGCCCCGACGCGCTCGTACAGGGGCTCCAGCCTGCCGTCCAGGTAGCCGGCCGCGGCGCAGCCGTAGCCAGGAGGAGGGCCGTGCGTCCCTCCCGGCATCGCGGCGCCGCCGGGCCCCCCGGGGGCGCCCGTGTAGTCAAAGTCACCGCCGCCGGCTCCTGCGGGGGCCGCAGCCGCCTTGGCCTTCTCCTGCTGCCGGCTGTGCTGGAACAGGTCGGCCAGGAACTCGTCGTTGAAGGCGGCCGGGTCGATGTAGGCGCTGATGTCGATGGACGTCTCGTGTTCGCAGATGCCGCCCAGCGGCTCTGGGGCGGCAGGTGGGGCGGGGGGCTGCGCGGAGCCCGCGCCCCGGGGAAAGCCGAAGGCGGCGCTGCTGGGCGCGTGCGGGGGACTCTGGAGGTGGCTGCTCATCGGGGGCCGCGGCTCCGCCTCGTAGAAGTCGGCCGACTCCATGGGGGAGCTACAGTCCTCCCGGCATGGCGAGCCTCGGCGGCCTCCAGCCTGCGCGGGGCGCCTATGCTGCTGCCGACCACCCGGAGCCCCGACTCCCTCGCGCCCGCGCAGCTCCCGGTCGCTAATGGCCAGGCGCGCTCGGGACCCGCTTTTATACCAGGGCGGCCTTCGCCCTCTAGTGTCCGACGGCGGAGCGGCGCCTCCTGGGTCTTAGCGCCTGCCTTCCGGAGGGGCGGTGAGTGGGGCCAGAGCGCAGCGCCGGCCAGGAGAGGCCCCGGCTCAACGCCCACTAACCCCCTGCCCCGCCAGCCGAACCCGGACGCGCGCATGATGCCCCACCCTGGGCCGAGTTGTCGCCCCCGCACGCACGTGGTAGGTGACGGGGCCCCCTCCTCTAGCTTCCCCGAGGCACCCACTTGCAGCCAACGGTCGGGGAGCCCGGGAGCACCGAGACGCTGCGCGGAGGAGGGGGGTGGGCTGGTGGAGGGCCACTCTTGGTCTCTGAGTTACTGTGGCGCGGACTCGCTCTAAAAGCTAGGAATCGTCCTTTTCGGGGCCGGAGTCTCCGCTAGGCTGCGGCGTGGAGAAGGGGCCGGGGGTGGGGGGTAGGGAACAGCTTGGGACGTACTGGCCCAGCGCATACAGCGGCATGGAGAGGCGGAGGGCAGCGTCCTGGAGCGTGGTGATTTTGTGTCTCTATCTCTGATCTCCTGATGACCCCACCGATTCCACGCCGAAATACCTCTCCCCCGCTCCGTCTCTCGAAGCCCTCTGGGGTCCCAAGGGCTCTACAGCGCCGGGCACTAGGACCCCGCGGGGAGCGGAGGGAATGGGAGGCGGCTGCGGCCGCAAAGCCTGGAGGACCCGGCCGGTCCATCCGCTTGGGCTTGGAAAACTTTTTCTTTTTAATTACTTCTCCTAGCCGGAGCGCTAGGGTTGCTAGGCGCGGGGCTGGCGCTGCTACCCGGCTCTCGGCCGCCAATTTTTTTTTTTTTTTTTTTTTTTTTTCCTGCGGGACGGGCCGAGCTGGATTCCAGGGCTGGGGTACCGGGGCGAGGTGGGGCGCATAGAGGGAGGCGGAGAATTTGACTCCGGGACCGGGATCCCAAATCGGGATCAGAATCCACTGCAGCGTACCCCTTCCCATTCGGGTGGGCTCCAGGGCCGGAGCGGGGGTGTCAAAGGAGCCGGGGCCTCGGGAATCTTGGCGTCCGAGAGTCCCATCACCTACCGGGAAAACCCTGCCGAGTGGTACGCAGGGCGCTGTGTTCCGGGGATCTTGGGGAACAAGGCGGCCAGGCCCCGGTGCCCCTTGGGCGCCTCCTCCGCATTCACTGCAGCCGAAGGAAGGGGTTTAAGGCAGCGCGTCTTCCAGCCACGTGGCGCCTCGCTGGTTCTATACCGGGATCGCCGGCGGGCCAGGGGCGCAGCCGGACTGCACTGGGAGCCTCCTGGGCCGGCAGTTCGCTCCTGCCTCTACCCCCCACCGCCCCTTAAGATTGTGCGCTGGAGCCCGACACCGTCTGGGTGTTGGTCGGAGGTGTCCCTGTTTGAGAAAAGCGGGGCTGCGCAGGTCAAGACCCCCTCGCAGACGGCGGCCTTCCAGAGCCTGGCAAGGCGCCAGAGCCCTCCCCGGAGCCCTCAAGGAGGCGCCCCACAAAAGCACAGCCGGCCCCGGGAGGCCAAGCTTCCACTGTGGTCACTGTAAAGAAGCAGCTTCGTCTGGGGAACACATACTGTGCTTTAATCAAGTTCCTATTCAACATATTCCCAATGATTAATGGCCCAACTGCTTCATTTTTTTGGTCCAGGGCTCATACACAAGATATTTTAAGCTTTTGGCCTGGGAGTAAAAGTAAATATATTAAATAAATAACCTCTGTGAGCCCGGAGCAGCCCTCTGGGCCAGAGGCAGGACCCATTTCTGCACCAGGCCCCTGAGGAGACCTGGAAGAAACCTGAACACATGCAATGAGATTTTCAGGTTTTTTTTTTTTTTTTTTTTTTTCTGCAGTGAGTGCTAAAAATAACAGCCGGTGGCAGGGTAGCAGCAAAGCACAAGCTCCTGAGAGTGTCCTGTTCCTAGCATGGACACCTGGTCTACTGCGCAGGGTTGCTGTTTCCAGCACAGGCAGCAAGAATGTGACCTCTTAGGATGGGAGGAAACCACAGAGGCTTTCTGGACAGCAGAGGAATAAGGCCTGATCGATAAGGGCGTGTAGGGGTAACGGGGGCACCAAGCGGGGCCCACATCCAGTGCCACGGGTCCTCACAGCGGAACCAGAATTCTCCCCAGGAGGCCTGCTCTGTGCAAGGTGCTCAGGGCCCCTGGATGAGTGAGAGGCGGCTCCCGCCCTCTCAGAGCTCTGGGCAGGAGATAGGTCGGCTCACAAGGTCTGCTCGGAGACAGTGGCCTTCCCACAGGACAGGTGACTCCAAAACCTCCCCTGGTTGGGGAGGGAAAGGGACACCCTCCCCTGGTGAATACGGGGCTCAAAGAGAAGCAGCAGCCACCTTTGTCTGGGGAGGTATTCTGGGCTAAATTGTGACCCCCCCCCCATTCATATGTCGAAGCCCTATCCCCAGTATGACTGTATTCTGAGATGCAGTGTTTAGGAGGTAATAAGATTAAATGAAGTAAGGTTGGGGTTCTAATTTGATAGGCCTTATAAGAAAAGAAGGAAATCTCTCTCTCTCTCTCTGTCCCTTCCTGCCTCCCTTCCTCCCTCTGCCATGTGAGGACACAGGGAGAAGGCAGAGTGTGCAAGCCCAGAAGAGAGCTCTCACCAGAGTCCAACCATGCTAGCTAGCATCCTTGTCCGCAGCTTCCAGTCTCCAGAACTGTGAGAAAATGAATGGCTGTTGTTTAAGCCACACAGTCTGTGGTATTTTGTTATGGCACTTGTCTTACGAGCCAAGACAGGTGGTGAGAGAGGGTTTCATGCAGGAGTAGACCTTTGAGCTGCACCTTGAAGGATGAGCAGGAATTTGCTGGAAGGATGGGCAGACGGAACGGCAGGTGCAAAGGTGGAGAGGCTGCAAGTGAGTGCCTGGCATGTTCTGATAACAAAGGACAAGATGTGTGGCGGGCTGGAGTGCAGGGATTGCTGGGGAGGGGCCTAGATAAGGCTGGATCCACAGACAGGGCTGGGTTCATGGCCAAGGCCACTCCCAGTGAAGGAGAGAGCCATCTCAAAGGCTTTGGCTGTCCAGCTTTCAGCAGGCAAGCACTGTGATCCAATTTGAGTTCCTGAAAGGGCACTGTGGTAGAGGCTGGGCAGGGGAGGGTGGACCAGATGAAAAGCGATGGAGACCTGAGGCCCCAGGTGGGGGTGGAGGACAGGGATGGATTTGAATGTCAGGACTTGGGGTCTGGGTGGGGGCTGAATGCCTGGCTTTTGTCTGGGGGTACCATCCGCCGACATATGTAGCGCAGAGAAAATAGAGGATCTCCTCCAAGCCCCTTGGGGTCAGCTGCAGGACACCCGCCTGCCTGCTTTGTGGCTCTGGAGAAAAGGACAGTCGGCCAGGAACAGCCGCCCGGACCTACCTGCCATATTTTAGTTTTCCCTTTGAGGTCTAAGAGAACATCTAGGGGATGGAAGGAAGCGATTCGGGGGCAGGTAGTGGTCTGTGGGTCTGTGGTGCAGGAGTGTCCCGGAGCTGTCCAAGCCCTGATGCAAGAATTGGCTCTAGGTCCTGGGTGAGACCCCAGGGTTGTGGAACCACTTTCCATGGGAGGTGCCCACAGCTGGCAGGGGGTTGTGGCCTGATAGGATGCGTGGGCAGTCAGCATTTGGCTGGACTCCCTTGGGGGGGAGATGGCTGTGTGGCTCCCGCTCAACTGACACGGAGCCAGTAATAAGAGAAGCGCATAAATCCTCTCTCTGACCACCTTTACTATCCTTCTTTTTTGTCTTAATTTATGACACTTGGCAGTTCCCGAGGAGAGCCCTGAGGGAGAACTCTCCAAGTGCCTTGGCCTCAATGTGCTCAGCAGGCGGGGCCTCGGGACCGGTACCCACCCCAAGTCCCACAGGCTGCAGGCTCACCAGGGCCTGGCTTCTGCCACTGCAGGGGCCGGGGGAGAGGAGAGGAAGCTCTGGCTCTACTTTTTACAAAGGAGAAAATCAGCAACAGAAGTGAAAATGCATTTCATAGGTGTGAATTGTGCTCCAGCCAGCTCACAAGAGGAGGCTCTTCTGAGCTGGGGGAGGGCTGGTCCGGTGGGGAGAGGGGAGCTCCCACCTCCATGCATTGTGGTGCTGAGGGTTGGGTCCCCTGGGATGGAGCCTGATTCCAGGGTCATTCCCAGGGTTAACCATTCTGAGGAGACAAACGGAGGCCTGGGAAATTTTTTTGTTGTACTTTGATTCAACCTTCCTAATGCAATGCATACAAAACAATTCGTATATAAGTTTGAGAGTTCATCAAATTCTGAAGAGCAAGACGGGAACCAACTTTAAGTTTTCTAGCTTTATCGAAAGCTTAATGGATAGGAGATTGGTCACTCCAAAGCAGGACTCATTAAGATAATAAATAAGGACTAAGAAAAGACAAAAGACAAGAACGCTACACTTTCCAGGCGCGGTTTGTGCTCTGACTAGGGAGCATGAGAATCTCATACAATATGTCTAATACAGCGTTTTAATAAAATGCTCTTAAAGACCTTCCTAAAACTTAGACACACAAAACAGAATGCAAGTTACTTTTTATGATAAATGCACTGGCTAATGAGTTTTATACTAATTCATTTTTATGTTTTAGATATTGGTGGGTACAGCAGATGAACCCAATGAACAGTCGATCAAGAGTCTCGTGTTTCTTACCAATAGCCTCTGGACACTTGGGGAAACCATTTTTATTCCTCAGTAGATTGTACATCCTACCTCACCAGGAGGCCAGTTAAAACCTCTCACCCACCATTTACTAGCTGGGTGATCTCGGGCAAGTTGAATTTCTCTGAGCCTCTGTCTTCTTTTCTGTAAACTGGGGGCAATAATTCACTATAGTGCATTCTCAGCTGGTTCTCGGGCAAAGGCACTTAGAAGTCATACAGAACATTACTGGGCATAATCGCAATACCATGAACTGGAAATTCTTTAACTGTTAGGAAATGTCACTATATTATATGTGTA